GGGCCGAGGAAATGAAGCGGGAGGAACGAGGACGGACGCCGAAAGGGAGACGGGCGCGAGAGGGAAGGGTTTATCCCATTCTGGCGCCGATGATGACGGGGTTCGGTTCCGATGGAATGAGAAACAAATTGTTTTCACGGGCGGAAACAAATCCCAGCGGGTCGTCGGGAACGCGCGAGCGCGAGCGAGCGGCGAGTTATCGCGCGTATAAACCGTAGCGGCTAATTATCCATCGGCCAGATGTATCAAGGATAACTAATTAGCCAGGCGCGCCGCTGTCATATCACGCCGACGAATCTCGCGATCTGTCGATCCACCGCGATGATCGATTTTGACGATCTGTTTTCTTTCGATGAGAGACAGAGACAGAGACAGAGAAAGAGAGAGAGAGAGAGGGAGAGAAAGAGAAAGAGAGAGAGAGAGAGAGAACAGGATCTCGTTCCGCAAAATCTATAATTCTTCATTTGCATTAACATCGTCATTTTGCATAATAATCGTTAATGTGCAATCAGTGAAAATATAGCTAAACTGGATATTAAATATTACGTTAAAACTGGATACACTTGACACCGTTAGTGTAGCGTTTACGTATTTCATGTCCTCGAAGATATCGGTTCATACAAGTCGCGCATCGACAGTCGAACGGCAGTGGTTTCGAGCGGCTTCCGTGATTTCGGCGTTTGCACTTTTCTCCTGTGCCTATGGCGAAGCGAGCACTCTCGTATTCGCGACGGGGAACAAGCTGGCAACCGGGCCGTTAGTGGCCGCGGCGCATCTCAGCCCGTTCAATCATTTATACGAAAGGCAAAGGATCGAAGGTATCGGACGAGAAGAAGGTAACGAAGAGAAATGTCGCGGCTCGGCTCGGACAGCCGGACGGACTCGGGTTAATCGAAATCTACAGCACCCTCGGAAATCAGGAGTTATATATCCTCCTGCACATCCGCCCTCTATCCCCCAGCCCCCGTCCTCCTTTCCTCCCCGCCGCCGCCGAGCCCTCCCTCGCACGCCCTATTATCCCGAATTACGCCTTATTGATACCAGATTGCCCGCGGTAATTTATATCTCGCGGGTGATTTAGCGCGCTTCGAGGGCCTTGATTAATGATACGGGGCTATCCGCGTGATTCCTCCTTCTTTTCGAGCCCTTCTCGCGCGTGTACGCTCTCTCTTTCTCTCTTTCTCTTTCTCTCTCTCTCTCAAGGATAAAGCGACGTAGTTGCATGACATTTCGACGGGATCAGTTGGAGAAGATCAACTCTTTGTATTTGGAAATTATTTGGCTGAATCGTAGGGTCCATATGCGGGAAGAACGGAAGTGTGTACATTTCAACGCGATTTAGCTACTTTAGATTTGACTACACCTAAAGAAATATAGTCTGATCCTCAACAATATATCCTTTGAACCTTAAGAGATTTTACTCTAAAGAACCATCTTTAATGGGATTGGCAGTAAGACGTAAGCAGTAAGCAAATTGACCGATCACGGTTGATTATTACAAGAATAATCGACTGTGATTAGTCAGTTTGCTTACTGCTTACGTCTTATTGCCAATCCTATTGTAGATGGACCTTTATACATGCTCCTTAAAGGAAGAGAGAGAATTCATCTAAAATCAAAAGAGAAATATTCTACACTTCAACGTGATGAATCAACGAAAAATCGCGCGCTTCGCGAGACGAGCTATCGCAGCGGTGAAACTTCGCGCTCGATCGCGAAGAAAAGGATTTTTCATACGTCGTCTCGGCGATGGCGCGACATAGATTTTACGCGGTTACGTTCGCGCGCGGGCTGGTGATACAACTCGTCGGCACGGCGAGCTGGGTTGCGTAAACATATGAAATATTAATGTTACACGGATATGTTTTATTGACACACGAGAGATCGCACGTTACCACGACAGCGCGCGCTCGCATGATGCATGATCGACGGTAACGATTTGAGAATCGTGCCGTTTAATCGGGATTATCCGCCGGCACATCGTCCACGGCGAGCCGCGCATCCTCGCGAAACGCGCCACTCACGATCCCCGATATCCCGCGAAAACGATCGTCGCGAATTTCTCCTCTCGGTAGCGGCGCGGTGTGAGACCTTCGAGCAATTACACGGACATGTACTACGTACTCGCTCGCTCGCCGTTTTTGCGCTGAATCTAATCTAAGATTCATATACGTGGCCTCTCGCGCGAGTTGAAACATTTCAGGTTAATCATTTTGACGCAAATGAATTTTGTAACAGGCATTCCCTCTGTCGCGCGCGTGCTCACGCGGATAATAATTAGATGACGTCCGCTTTCTATTAAGGCCGAGAATAAATTATCCCCTCGCCAGGCCACGTCGAAATTATTTTTACCGGCCTGTTAAAACGGTACGTTCTGCTTTCGTGCCCCCCTGAGGGATATTATCGCGCCGTCGCCAGACCGACCAACCGACCGGCCGGCCGGCCGGCCGACCGACCGACTGCTACAGCGAAACGCTATCCCGCACGAGCTCATAACATTCTTCCATTTACCGCGCGCATTATCCCTCTCACCGCTCAAACTTCTCTTCTCTCTCTCTTCTCTCGCGGTGGTTCCGCATTCTGCGTCTAGCATTCATCGCTCTCGCGCGGACGCTACGCCGCGGGATCGTGCCCATTTTGCGCGGCAACCGACTGCCGGGGATCGCGAGCTATTGAGATCTCGTTAGGTTCACCTGGTGCACGCTCTCCTCGTGGACGGGAACGCGCGTGGGATCGGGGCACGAAATAACGCACGCATGGAGATCACGAACAGACGCGGAAGCGCCGGCGGAGCTCGGCCTAAGACGGCGGGATACGATGTTAGCGGGGCCCGCGAGCGACTGCAACAGACGCGGAAAAAGTAACTCGACACTTCGCGCACCGAGAGAGAGAGAGAGAGAGAGAGAGAGAGAGAGAGAGAGAGAGAGAGAGAGAGAGAGAGAG